GAGAGAAAGAGGGAGAGAAGGAGAGATGCACGCATACGGCGTGCACGCATTTCTCGTCTCCATCAATGGGTGGACGCGCGCGGTTACGTCGTCGGCGCGACACACGCGTGTAATCTAACGCGTGGCTACTTCAGCGAATTAACCGTGCGGTCCGCGAGGCAAACGCATTTGCCAGACGTTGCGCGCAGTTTCTCGCCGCGGCACTTTTGTTCTCGCGCCAACTCGAGCGGAAAATTCGTCGCCAAGTTCGTTAACGCGTAGCGCTTCGTTTTTATTTTATTTTATTTTTTTTCTTCGCACGATTCTCGCGAACTAATTTCGGAGGTTTCTTCGCGTTTTTGGATCGCGAAACAAAAGGGGTGCAAATTTTTTTTACAGCGTTGTAGATTTTTGGAAATTAAATTTGCTTCTTTTCCAAAACTTTTTCACGCGATTGATGGTATCGTCAAAGATTTGTTTCAGCAAATGTAATTTTTTTTGTGGAACTCAATTCGTTGTGAATGCAAGCATGCAATGTGTCAAATTAACCCTGTTTTCTCTGCAGTTTTTATAGAGACGAGCACATGGTTGAAATTCCAGATCTACGAGGCTTCTCTGCCGGTTTCGTGCCTGGCGCGATTGGGGACCTCGAAAAAATAAATAAATATATTGTCGTCGATCTGTCGCCTCCATCGAGAGATAGAGAGAGAGAGAGACTCAAGACGTCGGAAAAGCCAGCACATAAGTTTTTTTGCATAGAGAGACAGGTCGTGATTTGTGACAATATTTAGCTTCAATATTCGAATATTGCACTTGTCCCGGCCTATCGATGTGCATTGTGTCTCGTCGTTGAGGAGCGAAACGAAGAAAACCGGCGGAAGGAAACCTTCTCGGTTAACAGGAGAGAGCGAGACGAAGACCGAAGTCGAGGATTGGACAGGCGGAGGCGAAGGCAATATTTGTGAACATAATAATCAAATTGCACTCGTCCCGGCCTGCCGAATCTGTTCGACATAATCAACGACACCCATCGCACTCAATTGTTACGCAACTTCGCAATTCGATTCGGATTGTTACTTCATCCATTGATTTTTACAGCTTCGATTATCGAATTTGTCTCTTGTCACACACGGTCTTAAAATTCGAATAAAATTGCAATAAATTTAACATACTCTGATGTTTGTTCGCAAAATTTTCACGAGTGTTTCAATTGTCAATAAAATCGCACCGTGTGTTTGGAATCGAAAAAGCACTTGTAACATAACACCGCATCGGTAAAAGTCAAACGCTAGCGCATCGTCGATTGTCGCGTTTGAAGATACGACATGGCGGTATTTTAATTTATTTAGTTTTTGTTTACTCCGAACATTAAATAAAGCGGAATATTCGACTCTGTCGCGGTCTACGATTTTATGTTACAATGTATCTGTTTCTACAATATATCTGTTTTTTGTAAAATAATATATTTAACATACTAGCAAAAACGTGTACACATCAAAGAGAGAGAGAGAGAGAGAGAGAGAGAGAGAAAGCAATAAATAAAATAAAGTCGCAGTGTGAAATTGTCATTACTTTATTTCCACACCTTTGAAATCTCTTCCCTTCCTTCATTCTCTTTGAGTAATTTCAGAGACCGCACATGCGTTCAAGCTCACATCCGACGAAAATTGTCAGATTCAACAACAACTTCAAAATAATTTTTATTCGAAAATTAACTAAACCACTGTTTAAAAATTTCCACGAAAAAAAAAACTTTACAAAAATTCGCAATTAACGAATACACGATATGACGCGAGCGCACGTCGCGTGCTATTTCCCAGGAGAACGCTTCTTCACCGGATCCGTATGTGTTTCCGGTTTCCGAGGGAGAAAAACGATAACGTCGCGTCTGTCACTTTCTCGCGCGCGAATTCGGAAGGAAGAGAAAGAAGGCGAAGGAAGAAAAGAGGGTAAAAAAAAAAAAACAAAAAAATGAAACCGCGCATTCTTTTGTGCAGAACATTCGCGCGCGCGCGCACGCTCGCGTAACCGTTTCACAAAACGGTCGCACCGAGGAGAGGAAGGAAGGAAGCGGCAAGAAAAAAGGGCGAAGTGGAACGGCAGAGGAAACGGCTCTATGGATCTCCCGCTTATATAGCTGGCCCCGAATTTCGCGATTCGGGTTTCCTGCTCGAGAGAGAGAGAGAAAAAAAGATGTGTCTTCCAAGGATGTGTATATATATATATATAGTATTATTTCTCTCTCCTTTCCCGCTCTCTTTCTCATCCTTTCTATCCCGTTTCCTTCATCCGACAAGACGTAAACGCTCGCTGGTTATGTCGCGATCATTTTGTAATTCTCACCCGACGGACGCGCACAAAGAAAAAGAGAGAGGAGCGGGAAAAAAAAAAAAAAGAAAGAGGAAAAACCCGATATCAAAGGACGAAAAGGTGGTGGCCGCGCGAAAAGGAAGGAAGGGAGGGAGTTACGTTACGTGTTCGATCGAATAAGGAAACACAATAAAAGTAGGCTCTCTCTCCTGGAGGGACGTTGAATCCTGTTTTTCATTTCGTCCTTCTGTCCGTCTCTCCTCCTCTTCTTCTTCTTACGATCCTCTCTCTAACGGGGGACGAGAAAGAGAGTGTGCGCGCAAACGCGCGCGTGCACCGCGCGCTGTCGCGCAAAAGCATCCCTCTCTCGTCGTGGAGAGTCCCACGGTTCGAAATAAAACACCTGGCTTCTCGCTC